GAATTACCAAATAGACTGTGCAGGTGCATTTGGTGTTATTGCACAATTACAAGTCACAATCAAAAATTGCAGATTTGAAAGCTTTGTTACTAAGTTTCTCATGCTTTTGGCCGATAGAATAAAAGCATGAACTTCATACCAAAGCCGATAGCCAACGTTCGGTTTAGCTAGATGTATTGCATAATGTGCAATCGCACCATGTGCACCATATTATCCTATAACCTTAACCTCCATTGAAATAGGTGGCAGACCAACTATATTTAGGCTGCTGTATGAAAAGTTATGAAACTGATATTTATTAGAAAATTACTTCACATTTTCTGACACTTGCGTACGGTGAGATCTGCTCAGTCCTTTAGCCAAAACCAATATTTAGCGGGTTTTCCTTGCAAAACCAAAAAATTGGTGCAAGCCTAGCGATTTTCAATTTCATGAAATCTGAAGAGAAGAGAGAAGTTGTCGAGAAACTACTAAAAATCCTAGAGAAAATTCGCAGATTCTCCTTGACCTCTGCGACGAGATAAGAAGAAGAACAAAGATAATAATCAAGGCTGAAGTGAGGAGGAATATAGAAACTTTCTACTCCGAAGCAACTTGACGGTTATTTGCTTAAGCAGAAAATGCAGCGAAATGTTCTTGAGGATGAATACTTAGCAAAAAGCTTTACTCCGCGAAGCAGCGCAAGAAACTACGGGATTTTTCGCAATAGCGCGGAAATGTTCGATAATCTGTGTAATTGAGCGGAAAAGTCATTAGGAGGAGGAGGAGGAGGAAGTAAGGTGATCAAGAGGGAGCACAAGATTACGGTAGGGGGTCTACTATTGGTAGTGTGAGTGATTTGCACGAATAGCACAGTAGTACTGGGAGTAGGCTATCGCCATCCTCACCCTGTCCGTCGTTATGGCGGGGGTTTCAACGGGCCGAAAACTTTGGGATGAGATATATGGAAGAGGCGGAGTCCACGTCCTATACAACACTCACGGATACTCAAGGTCAAGACATGAGAAACGAAATGAAATGGCTGACCGCCAGCAATGCGCTAGCGCTAGCGCTAACGTTAGCACTCACCCCTCCCCTCCTAGGTCGCGTTCTCCACCTCAGTGTGCTCGACGTCGTCTCGTACCATACTGCGCCAACTGCCAATTTACATAGTTTTGAGATTGTGAATTCGCATATAAGACAGCTGGCAGATGTGGTACGCGAGTCACCTGGGTGGAGTGGATGGATTTTTAAAAGGAGATTTGAGGGATATATTGGGAAATATTTGGGATCAGCAGAAAATTCTGTCGGTTGCAAAAGGACATCCTATCTTTAGTTGCTCAAGATGGCGGCGCTCGAGGATCAGGAAACATGCAACTTCCAGATTTTTCAGCGTTTAACCCCATATACTCTTACACAGAAAATGACTGCTACGATGATAGATAAAAAGGTTTTCTTTCTTTAATACAGGGTGTCCCAGAAAAATTGAATTTTAATGACTATCTTCTGGAAATAATTTGAGATTTATGATTTTCTGTGAAGGATTAGCCTAATCAAATTTCCCTTATAAGTATTTTACGTCGATGATTGCGGTAGAACTACGGTATAAAGTTGTCAATGGCTTTATGATGTCAAGCACTTGCCATAATTTTGATATAAAGCCTTACGATATTGAATATCATATTTGGACGCGGCATACCAGATACCTTTCCACAACTGTCTTCTAATATTAATATCATAATTATGCCAGTGTTGAAGCCAAGTGTAACTTTATATCGTAGTCTTACCGTATGGCTAGAGATGAGAAGTCCATCAGTAAGTGAAAATCTAAGTTAAAGCTACTTTTTCATATGAACCAAAAAAGTTCATTGAAAATTTAGAAATAATGAAGGTTTTTCATGATCAACCAGGTACACCTTTTTGAGACATTCATATCTTAAGATGCAGACAAATACCCCTATCTACGCCGGAAATTTATATGGGTTGGCAGCCACAGCTTGACGATATTCAATTATGGGATAGGTTAGTTCAAGGTCAGCACAAGGAAAGAAACGAAGAAGAATCTAGGTTTTTGCTAATAAAAAGTCCTTATCTCACCCTTATAGACCTAAAGGTTTTGTAATCCCAAACTATTGTTAAGCTTACCTTACTATATGCTTCATCATGAAAAGGCCTTGACGGCAAGCTTTAACCTAATTCTAACTTAATTAACTGTCAAATAAATCAAATTTCAAATATATTTGTACGGATAAACACGATATTCGGTGTTTAAGTTTAGAATACGTTACTCAGGTACTCAGAAGAGCTCGAGTCAGCCCTGTCAAATTAGCGATCGTAAATTTCCCATTGTGACATAAGTTGGGATGGTAGATGATGAATTAGTTCCGCGTTAATTGCCACTCACATTGAGTATTCGCGATACCTTTGGTTATCTATCGTTTTTGAGCAGTACAGTGTTGTAGAGCCGAATAAACTATTCAAAGGGCTCAGCAGAGATGTATGGAAATTGTAGAAGTGCATAGTTACATAGTTTTGCGTTTTTTTGATGTTGGGGCTTTCAAAACGAAGATAAAAATTACTATGATTAATCAATAACCACTCATTTAAATTTTAGTTTTTGGAATCAACTCTAATAGTGCCTATCCTACTGCACATGCTTTAATGTGGATATTCAAAAATTGTTTGTTCGTAATTTAGAATTGGAATAATCGAAGTGCTTCGAACGGCAGAAGGTCGAAAAATTCTGAAGAGCTCTGGAATTTCTCAACCTCATGTGTGTTCATTTACAAGTTCCAAATTGTCTGAATGAAAAGGAGGTGAGGAAACTCATTTTGGAAACAGAAGTTTAAGAATTTTCAACGAGTCAAGTTTCTATCTTTCTTCAATATTCATCCATCATTTTATCCAAAAATTCAGAAATAAACGGAAATAAAAAGTGAAAATTTAAATGATCAAACTGCTTTAAAAGCAATTTTCAGGATTTTGTTATCTGCATAGAAAAAATATGTATTCACATAACCTGTAGAGAAATTTAACCTACTCACTTAGATTACTGCCTACTTATGAGTAAGTCCAATTATACAAATTGACAAAAATGCGCCCCACTTGCATGTGAAATTGATGTCTAATTGAGATTTTGATATTCAATAACTTCTACTAAAGTTCTACTTCACGTTTATGGTCTGACTCGTATATAGGACAGTATTTTCATTATAATCAAAATTGGCTGCAATCACGGAATACCTCAGTAAGTTCTGTTGTGTAGCCTTGGGAACTAAATCTAGATTAGACGATAAAAAGCTGAACGGCCCTTTAAAAGACCGTATTTTTATGCTTCACTAGCACACGCGCCATTACATTAACGGCATTTTTACCTCCTTGAACTGATCAAATTAAGGTCAAAGTTTTGTGAATGAAACACGTCATCTGAGTAGCATAATCTGTGAGGAATGGTGGCCTAGTAACCACTGAATGTTCGGCTTTTTTTAGGTGGAGATAGGAAATTGGTTGGAATAGCGGCTAGTAAGTGACTGACATAAGTAAATTCGATGGTCAAGACCAAATTGATAATGAGTTTGAGTCGGAATTGGTGCAGAATATGGCGATAGGAAATTGCTTGGAATTGGGGAAAGGTAGAAATATAGATTTTTGCAATGCCACAAATCGACCGATCAAGTCTCAATTTTACATGTTAACTTTTTCAAGATTTGCTTAAGAGATGTTTGATAGAAATGTTGGGATAAAA